GCCTTCATATTTGGCTTCGTATAGCGTTATAATGTTTATATTTATAGAACTATAAAAGTCTGGGTTTATAAACTGAAACATGACCTTTAGTTTTTGATATTCTTCATAGTCGAGTTTAAATTGACCTAATTTATAGTTAGTTACCACTAGAAATGCGACGATATTTTGGATCACCATAAATTGTGTTAAAAAAGTGATTTGTTCATTTGGCTGATGTTACAGTTTTCTGATGTGTTTTGTTTGGATGATATTAGAGCAATTTCAATATGAAAGTGCAGGTGTCTTTAGACATGAGCCATAATGTATATATCAAAATACTGATAAAATCCGTTTCCAGCTTGATTGTATTTGCATTTGTTGTATTTGCATTGTTGCAGGCAAAGTTGTGCAATGGTGGGCTTATGTCACATACTCGTATGTAATTCCATGTGCCTGCATGTACAGTACTTTGATGCCTCAAGAGGTGCTTCGAATGTGTAATAAAGGGCTGTTCACAGGAGTTGAGCTGTCTGGCCTTAAATTGCATTGTTTTTATGATATTTTAAGATTGTATTCATATGGCTGGACCATCCTGCCATTGTCACAATGTCTGATGTTGAAACAGGCTTTAAAATCAGGTTACAATGCATGCTTGAAAATATGCAACAATTTCACTGCTAATAATATTCCAGAAAATCCTGCCTCTTGGGCAGATCTGGACTGATTTGTCAGAGGGGGTTGGAGGTTTTCTACTTGTGATCGGGCAAGGGGAGCTAGCCAAGGGTGCTGGGTCAGAGTCAAATTCATGTGAACAGCTTCTAAGTCCTAATTATATTGATAAATTATGTACACTTTGGGATGGTAATGCAATTTGTAAAATATTCCACAATTTATTTAATAAAATTTAATTATATACATTGTTTTTGTTGTTTATATTAACACCTTGGACAGTGTATATTTACACCTTTGGACCCTGTAAATAAACACCCTTGGACCCTGTAAATAAACACCTTTGGAGGGTGTACCCATTCTAAGCCAAATACGTTTAAGAACAATTATCAAGGTATTTGCATGATAAAATATATTTAAACTGCTCTCCATATACATGTAATGCATGGTTCAATTCTTGCTTTTACCAAGTAAACCCAGGGATTTTCAATGTCCCCCTCCTCCCGTAGAATTCACTTGAAGTGACTGGGGCAAGGTAGCTATAAGTATAAGTAGTTATATTAATTTAATTAAAGTCAATTAAAATTGACAAATTGAGTTTTTTGAATATAGACCATTGCAAATTTTTTTAAAATTTGTTTAAACCTTTATAGTGGCAATGTCCCTACTTTAGTATATTACTCCGTCTGGTGGCAGACAATTTTACTCAAGGGCAGAATGTAGACTTGCAACAAGTTGACCTCGAACGAAACGTCGGCTCACACTCGCTGCTTGCGTTTCGTTCGAGGTCGATTTGTGGCAAGTCTAGACAGAATGCTGCCACTCAATGAGTTAATATATTCTCAGAACAATTACCATCAAATTTAATCTATTTTGCTGGCAAGGGGGAGGGGGTCCTTGATTTGTTGAGTCTTATTTTTTTTTGGGGTGGGGGTGGGTGAGTGTTGTAAAAAACAGAATAGCAACTGGTTTCAGAATAGGAAGAATTGTTGTAATATAGGTAATATAATTCTAAGACAAATCATCCAAAGGAAGCAATCATTCTAGCTCTTGTAGTGTATGTTGCAACAGGGATGGATTTACTGGGGGGGGCTGTGAACTCCCCTAGCCCTGGCCAGAGGGGGTGCAGGGGGTTCTATTTTTCATGATAAAGCAAAAATTATTACAGGCAAAATGAGATACAGTAATTTGAGTAATAACATGATGATAAGCGAGCTGTGAACAACAATTACAATTCAAATACAGTAGTAAAGCAAGACTTTGCAGTAGTGAAGCAAGTTGATGGGCGGGCGGCACACATGACCGACACAACTCGGCACCAGAGCTGGCAGAGCACCCCCCCCACCCCTACCAGATCATGCTGGATCCATCCCTGTGTTGCAAAATGTATTTTCTTCATAGTCAGGCATTCACATGAATGAAGATTAGAATTGTATCATGTTATATAGAGGGGTCCCATTATTAAATTAAGAGATTAAAAAGGGGTCCCATGACATTTTGACATAAGAATCTCCCACCCCACCCTAGGGTATAATGGTCACTTAAAGTACATGCCATCTTCTAACTGGTTGGGCACCTTGCGCCCCTTTTGTGATGGAAAATCTATTTCCTACCTTTATCCCCTGGGACAAAAAATTCAAATCAACTCTCCACCCTGATAATGTGCAGATGGTAACAGCAAGAATTGAAGCAAGCAAGCTTTACTGGAGTACATACTATTATTAGGAAGCATCAATTTGCACATGCTAATTTGCCAGTCATGATTTTAAACGTAATATTTCTTATCTCGTATAGAATTCTTAAGGTCTTGTTTACATTTTACTGGAAGCAAACTAAGATGCATATCCAATATTTGGGTCATATCACTCATATGTCAGTTTTGCAGCTTGCCAGCTTCAACAACATTTGGCTGCAAGGAAAACGTAAACAAGGAAAGAGCATATAACACTTCATCTGTGTTTAAAATATCAATGAATAAATATTTCAACCATTAGCACTTTATAATATAAGTGACATTCAACAATAGATCAATAACATATACAGTAAATGCAAATTAAACCATTTCTTTGAATCACTGTATAAAATATTCCTCATAAACTTGCTCCAATCGTCGCAAAGCAGAGTCTTTAGAAGGGTAAAAGCAAGTTTAACATCCCCAGTTCAAAACACTTTCCGTGTCCTCTTAGGCAAGCCTGTCCAGCTGGAAAATATCTGTCGTAATACTATTATATATTTTGGCTGTTAATTTTGTTTAGCGAACGTCGAACGAACGATATTTACCAAACCCAGCTGGAAGAACAGCAACTACATAGTTCCCATGTAATAAAAGCTGAAGAATCTGATTTCGAGTACGTCGATAGCAAAAAGAAGGAAAAATTTCAAATGCATTTTTAAGCCGCTCTAAGCACTTAAATTTTGTGGACACTCTTAGGTTGGCGGCCATCTTGGATTTTCTAATTCATTATTATTATAATTTATTACACCCACTATATCTGGGTGTTGAAAGTCATGTGACCGGCCGGTGCCAGGGCCTTTTCCCGCCTTCCCAATGACAAAAAAGGGAAAAGCCCTGGGAACGATATTGTACAAAGCAATGACACTAAACTGGTGACACCACTGTAACAAGCGACAAATTGCCACCGCCCGTGCTAATTGCATATGGTCGCCCGTTAAATATACTTAAATTGTGCATTTATACTGATGGAAACGAACGACAAAATGCGACCGCCCTTGCTAATCGCATTTGGTCCCCGTTAATAATAAATATACTGAAATTGTGCATTACTTATGGAACGAACGACAAAACGCAACCGCCCGCGTGCTAATTGCATTTGGTCGCCCGTTGAATATACTTAAATTGTGCATTACTTTTGGAACGAAAGACAAAATGCGACCGCCCGTGCTAATCGCACTTAGTCCACCGTTGAGAGAAGCATGCTACTATTAGAGGAGGCCACACCACAAGACGCCCCCGCAAGTCTTGTAGATAGGTTCAATCAATCAATTAATCAATCAAATCTTTATTTACCACAAATTTACGAATAGATGCACATTAATACATTATATATACATAAAAAACGTGGCGAGGAGACATCTAGAAGCTGGAAGCTTTTAAATGAGGCCACCTCATAGGTGAAGATATATGTTAATTAGAAAATCTTAACTCGCGCCAAATACAGAATGATACCCGCAAGTTTTTCTTCAGATCTTCTGAAAATAAGTATAAATCATTATAGCCAAGCACATTTCAGCGTAATTTTAGGTCCCCATTTGGAGATCTCAGGCTTAGATTTTAGTGTAATTTTGTAGACCGAACAAGAAGCAAAAACAGGTGTGCCGTCAAGTTGCTGTCGTTTATTCACAATTTATTCAAATGCTTTTATTTTTTGGAACAAGGAACCTGAATTGAATCTTAACTTGTTAATCTAGTTGAAATTTGGAAATAGTCAGGCGTTTTGACTCAGCGCGGCTTTACAATTTACCGAAATTCAACCTTCGATTTTGCTTGACATTAGTTCTGCACCGGTAAAATGAGTTTCGGCGTCTAGCGAAGCCATAAAAAAGAACTTTCAAAAAATAAATGTATTTTGGACACTTGTATACCAATGCCTTTCAACACACAAAAAATAAAGGAAATCTATTTTCCGAAGTCAAAGTCATTAAAGATTTATTGTTTGTTAAGCAATTTACATTGAAAAGATTTCATTCATAAAACAAAACAACAAAATGCTTTTCCCACAGTTGCCATGCAAGTCTCGCAGTTTACCTGCGAGCTAGTCTCCCAGTTTTGACTCACATGTCGGCTTACGAATCTTGTGGTATTCAGGAAAATAAATTTTATGGAATTCGATTTAAGATTGTACATTTGCTATTCTTTTCAAGTTCTTTCAAATCCAATGTGAAATAGAAGGCTAAGCGCAAAATTATTTCAATACCCTGGTAGGGAGCTAGCTTTAGATTTGACAACGAGTACAAGTAGCCTTCTACGAGGTACTTCGTTTATACGATGCTTCTCATCTTCTTATGCCATTACGTAAGGACGCGATAATCTCGTAGTAAGATTTGTTTTACTACGGATTCTTCACCGGCATTCAGTTCTTGATTTCGCCCCGGCTATTTCAGGCGTCAGTACGTGATGGCGCAGTAACTTAGCGTTATATCTAGACGAATCTCATACTCGTAGTGGAATTGGAGCGCTGTATTTTTGTGCAAGTAATTAAAACATGCACAGTGTGATTTCCAGTTTCTTGAGCATGTTTTGCAACAAATTCGTGGTCATATTTTTTCTTCTCCGTGATTGATTAATTTAAAAACTGTTTCATTTTAATTTCAGGTGACAAACGTAGAATTATAAATAATTGAATCTTTCTCTAGTCTAGGAATTAGGTTTTGATACATGTTTTTTTATCCTGTTTTTTAGGCAGAAACGTAAGACTGAAAGCATGGAAAGGCTTACGTCCTGGACCTCCTGGTAGCGACGACAAGCCACCAGATGAAGTAAAGAATATATTAGCCCCAGTTGTTATCCAGGAGGAGGAAGATGTTAAGGCTTGGATTTGCTACCCTTCGGTAACCGTTCTCCGAGGGGAAATAATGACGCCAAGCTCACACTATGACTGCAGAATGAAATTAAGAACCGGTATGCTACTTACACTACAGTTTTACTAAATGTAAGCTATTTAAACTTATCATGTTTCGCTCGCTACTCTGGTTTAAATAAATTATTACAAAGTCCAGTCGAATTGTAATCAAGACCCAACGTTTCGACACTCCAGTCTAGTGTCTTCATCAGGGGTGATCTAAAATTGCAATCGTGGCTTCTTAGATACCCAAGGGATTGCAGAGTAGCGAGCGAAACATGATTGATACGATGTTTAATGATTTGATTTGATTCGCTACTATTTTACAGGTTTCTTAAATCGCTACTATTTTAGAGGTTTCTTTACAATTTTCCAACATATATATGTTGGGAAATTGATAATTTTGTAATTAAAAGTGATATTTTTAGGCGATTTTTCATTTGTAAGAATATTCTTAAAAAATTATCGTGTTACCATGGCAACTACTTTAGATACTTCATGTTCGGAAAATACAATGATTGTGTCAGCAAGGCGAGGGTTTCTGCATGCATGCTAGCTACTGCATGCATGTATTTTCTAGTTATATGTATAATGATGTTTTACTGGAAACTAAAACATCGCAGAACTTATAGGCCGCTACATCTGGGACCAGGTGCGCGTATTTTCCGTATTTCGAAAATTTCTCGCCATTGTCATTGTTTTCAAAATACAGATGGCTTTGGTTTGTATATAGAAATATTTCTCTCGGATTTCCCGACCATACCGGTAAATAATATTTTTTTTTTTTTTTAATTCCTCCTCTGGATTTTCCCAATCACCTCTCCCGTGCACGCGAATGAAGCTGCCAAATAAAACATCGTTTCCAACAATGCTATCGGGAAGAGTAATATCTTTTGTGAGGTAGTAAAATTCGCTTTCACTGTGTTCTTCAATGTTTTAAAAAGTACCCTTCTTTAAATTTTGAAAAATAAAAATTTAAATCTCGCGCGGTCCGTACGGGCTCATACGGACCGCTCACTTAGCCAATCAGATTGCAGAAAAGCGTAAAATATGACTTCGGACCACAAGAAAAAAATAAATGGATTTATGTTCTCGTGTCGGAAATAAGCAATATCTCACTCATTCGCAACGCTCATTCGTGAGATATTTTTTTGCCACTCGAACATAATATCCATATCACCTCGCAACAGTCTAATACCCTCTATAAATATATATATATATATATATATATATATATATATATATATATATATATATATATATATATGATGATAGGAAGTAAAATAAATACATATATATATATATATATATATATATATATAAAAGACAAGCTTGAGTTACTTCGTTTAAAACATTTATTCACAACAAATTTGTTTCGTATGGCAAGCTAGGCTTGCCACACTCATCAGGTGAATGGTGATATCGCGTATTTACATGATGTATAAATAGGTAACTTGAGCTGTTATATACAAATGAGTGTGGCAAGCCTAGCTTGCCATACGAAACAAATTTGTTGTGAATAAATGTTTTAAACGAAGTAACTCAAGCTTGTCTTTTATTTGCTCTACTTTTGTATCGAGCACTCTATTCTTATGATTCGACACTCAATATACTTATTGACATTCGCCTATATATATAAATATATATATATATATATATATATATATATATATATATATATATATATATATATATATATATATATATATATATATATATATATATATATATATAAAATATATATATACCGGGTGGCGCAAAAAAAAGTTAACCTGTTTGATTTATTTTAACTTAAAAACTAAAAGAGCTATTACACCTAAACTATACGTGCATTGCATTCAGTATTGTCTAACTTAAATTTTAATATACGCCCTGTGCAATTTCGTACAATATTCACCGAGAGAGCTGCGTTTAAACTTGAATAAACATTTTGGGAAGTGTCGAGAATTAGCTAAAAACGGCCTGTTAAACTAATTTGATAACCCTTACCATTTTATCGTAAATATTCGTTTCAATGAAGTGAAATTTAAATTAAAAATGTTTATAGGATGGAGGTGCTCTTTTATTTTTGTTTAAGGTCTTTGGGAATGCATGAAAATTAATTTATGTAGCGATTTTGATTAAAAGATTTATTTTAAATATCCAATGACCCTGGGGAATCAAATTCTGATGTTCCAAGAAAGAAACGTCAAGTGTTTTTTTTTATAAATACGCCTCGTTTAACGAATGACCAAAGAGTTTTGATATGTTTAGAATATGTAAGGGTAAATAATGCTCGTGAGGTTATATACCGGCGGCGTAGGGCAGGTCTCTGACAACGAACGTGTACTTTCTGACTATAGTGCGTCTAAGCACAGGTTATTGCTGTATTAAATATTTGATAGGCCGTTTTTGGCTAATTCTCGACACATTCAAAAATGTTTACTCAAGTTTAAACGCAGCTCTCTCGGTCAATATTGCACATAAATGCACAGGGCGTATATCAAAATTTAAGTTAGACAATACTGAATACAATGCACGTAGTTTACATGTAATAGCTCTTTTAGCTTTGAAGTTAAAACAAATCAAACAGGGTAAATTTTTATATATATATATATATATATATATATATATATATATATATATATATATATATATATATATATATATATATATATATATATATATAATAGATTTAAGCATAACCGTATGATGATATGAAGAGACCATGCTTGATAAGTCTAGTATGATGTACGACGCAAGTGAGGTCATTTGCATATCAAACATGCTGAAATAACTGATCGTGAAAAACGAAATCAAAAGACAAACATCTGGAAAAGAAGTTACTCTGTAATATTCTATTGTTTTTTTCCAATGAGACAGTAAGCTTACGCACTAATGAGCCTATAATATTTACAACATAAAAGCCTGATAACTTTCGATAACTTTTTGCGATATTTTAAGAACGCTCATGTTTTCTCTGCATGCCGTCCATATTTTAAACTGACCCGTGTCTAATCTGGCTGTCCGATCTCGAAAACAGATTTGAACACGAAACATTTTGATGAACATTAGAGGAGGACACGAACCATTTTGATTAACATTAGAGGAGAACTTGGTGCATGTTCGCATATAAAAAAGCTTGACCCTGTCAAATGAGCACGAATGTCTACGGATTTAGGTTTCAAACTGGATACACACAGTCCACACACACACTTTTCAATTTTGTATCTTCCGGTATATAAGTCTTAATGAGTAATTAAATTGTTTCTACTGATTACTGAAGGATAAAAAATCTCTTATTTCATATAGGCTCCCGTTTTGTGACTGACAAAGATAGCGGTTGTCTAGAAGAAGACGCAATTTTATCGGACTATCTTTCGCACTGCAAACTTGATCAGAAAAATGACAATGTAACGCTGTGCTTACCTGCTAAAAAAGACCACGAAATCCCCGAAGGCTTCGGGTGCATTTTTTACCGCCAGGCGAAGGAAAGAATTTTTTCCGCCACAGATGATGAAGAAGAGTGTTTTACTGTTATTGTTTTCGATGAAAAGGGATGGGATTCTGACGGAGTAGATAAACGAGAACAGGAGCAGGTTTGTTGCTTCAATTTTTAAATGTATCTGCGACAGCGACATTGTCTTTTAATCAATTAGTCGCCCATGTCATTATAATTTTTCGCCCATATCACTTCCATAAAATGAAACAAATTAAAACTAGCAATCAAATTAAGCATACATATATTACCATATTATGCGTTAAAGTTCGGTGATGAATTACAGTATTCAGTTCAAGTCTTCAATTCGTCTCTGATTTTAACATCTTCATTCCGTATTGTTATATTTCGTATTCATTTGCCTATTTTATCGGATGTGCATTAATTAAGTCGTCATGAAAATATTTCATGCACTTAAATTGAAACACTGCGCGTCCTCTAAGACAAGCGTTGAGTCGTTATGAAAATATTTCGTGCACTTAAATTGGATAAGACTCGCTATCAATCCCCGTTGACTCGATAGCTCAATGGGTAGAGCGGCGGTTTCGATACCCGAAGATGCGAGTTCAAATCCCGCTCGAGCCTACGAATTTTTCGTTGGTCGATTGCAGTGTCAGAATAATATGAAACTAAGTTCTTTGAATGTTTGCATGGCGATAAAATATAATTGTTCTTGTGTGTGGAAACACCACGTAAATTTATTACTGCAATAATAAATTTACGTGGTATTTCCACAAACAAAAACAATTAATATGAAACTAGTTTTTCGTATCTCTGAGGATGGTTCTAAACTTAATTTACTGCTTTGGTGAATACGTGACTAGTGGTTGATTTGCTTTCTTAATTAAATCATTGCTATAAAGAGCACAAGTTTAATAATAGTTTAATAATAGTTTAATGTATTTCAAAACTGGTGTAAAAGCTGTAACTTATAATAGAGTTGTAAAATCAAAAACTTCGTTAGCGGTTTGACGTTTGCCGTAAACGTCAAGCTAAATGTCTCTATTATTATTTGTAAGCGTTTACCGAGATCTTTTCCACGTCCAGATCTGTTGAACGCGGGTAGATTTCAATTAAGATGTTTCTATTCTGTCTTCCTCCGTTTTGCAAAATGAGTTAGAAAACGGGCTTATTTTCAGGGTTTACGTTATTTTAAAATTTAAAAATTCCGAATCCTCTCATAACGTATTTATAAATTAGGTGCCAAATCTTTGTAAACAAATAATTTCTACTCATTTCGTTCGTAAAATGTTCATAACACAAGGCGCTCGGGACAAGGGCGTATTTACGATGTGCTTATCCAAATGGTAAACTTTTATTTCTTTGATGCAGTTTGGTATAAGGGTTGTGATGAATTCGTGGTCTGAAGCACTTCTTTCACCTGAACGAGACTGGACAGTGACAGTGGACAAGCTGCAGAAATATATGGATTTTTTGTTTTCACTTAAAAATTCTTTATTCGATGGCTCGTAAGTATCCTCTGGGTCAACTGGTGTCCAAAGCTGAAAAATATCTCTTTGAGATATTCATATATTGGCAGAGAAACAACATTGTACTGGAAGATCAAGCGAATCGCCAAAAGATGCCGGCATGCATTTTTGCAAGAAGTATTGCTATATAAACATGCCGTGCTGCATTGTTCAGACAATACATGGGTACCACGATTTTTTAATACTATACTAAACCTAAGTTACCTAACATTCAATATGTTCTAAGGGCCTGTTCATATGATCCCGCTTACCGGGACGTCTCGCTTACCGAGACGAATATTTCCGTGCGTTCATATGGAATATTTCGTCCCGCTTGCCGAGTGAAATTACATTGTAGTTCTATAATTAGCGTATGCAAAACTTCTACATTTCAGTCAAGCAACACAAATACTTAGCCATTTTAGTGTTTTTCTTCGTTTATTTACAATAAAAAGTATTTCTTCAGGTGCATATTTAATACTTGTTTACAAAACAAACATAAAACCAAGTAAAAAGTGTTAAATTAAACTGGCTAGACTTGTTTGACTTCATCCCGGTAAGCGGGCTGGCGTGTTCATATGGAAAATTTTTCATCCCGCCTACCTATGATCTCGGCAAATTCAAACGAGATCTCGGCAAGCGGGCCAGCTCGCTTTCTCATATGAACACAATGCAAAATTTTATAGGAAAATAGATAGGCAGCGAGATCATCGGTAAGCGAGACGTCCCGGTAAGCGGGATCATATGAACAGGCCCTAATTGTGTATATAACCCTACCTTTAAATGTGTTTTAATTGCAGAATATAAGAAATTTTGTTATCTTGACCCAGTGACATGTATTATGACGAATCCACGGTAAACAGTCTACTTTTATGACTTTTATTTGGTGAAGCGTTAGCGAACCGTTGCTATCACGACGGTGCCTCCACGTTCCCTTTGGTACTAATTTATCCACAATGTCACATATTCATGCTCTAATTATTTAAAATGACCTGAAAGTTCTTTACGGCTGAAGTTGGATTCGCGTCAATTTGGCTCTAGATTTTGAATCTTCATTCGTTCCATTTCGTGACAAGTTTTTGAGACAATCGAGAAAGGAATCACAACATTCTCTGGCTAGATGTTTTTACCTACGAGGTTTCGGTTATCAGATCTATAACCAACAGGATAAAAACAACTAGCCTGAGAACATTGTGAACGTGATTTTCGTGTGGATGTGTCCGTTAGGAAGAAAATATGGCAGAGTGTATAGAATGGAGAGTGTATAAACTGGACTAAACAGATGGTTGAGGCAATGATTACGGGACATTTTTCGTTTATTAGCTGTGGCACATGTGCGCAGTTCCGAACACCTAGTGCATCGGATCAAATACTCATTTATCATGGAAATTGTACACAAGATCATTCATCACGGCTATTCAAATTTGCTATGCCGACAAAGGAAAATCTCGCTTCGCTCGAACAAATTCAATTGGTAAGTTCAAGGTGCTCAGTGCTTTTGTCTCATCCTAGGAAACTACTGCTTGTGTGAACAAATTTGCTTCACTCAGGATGTGCGGAATTTCTCACCAGCTCAGTTCGACGTTCTGCGCGGTCTAGCGCATATTAAAATCTCGAACGGCTGCTGCCAATGTAAGTAGACGCCAACGACAACAGGAAGCTGCTTGCCTGTGTGAAAGATATACAACTATATACCTGAAAAACCTAAGCAAAAGATTGACTTTCCAGAGACGTAGGTCCCTCGGTTGAGAAGTCACCAAAATTTAACTTGTTAAAACTTGTTAAACAAGTACGTATGCAACATGTAATTAAATACAATTGAAGACTCGCAGTACTATTAAAATATCATCCCCGAGCCAACGGCGCGGAGCGCCGTTCCGGGCGTTAACCCCGGGCGAGGGTACTAATTCCGCCCGGCTATTTACATCCGGGGAAACGAAAGCACTGGCGAAGTCTAAAGTTCGTTAATGATCGCGGGCGGGGCTCACCAACGGTGTTGAGCGGGACTAGCTAACAGTCGTGGTTCGTGGGTCGTGGGTAAAAAGTCGTGGGTCGTGGGTAAAAAGTCGTTGGTCGTAGGTAAAAAGTCGTGGGTAAAAAGTCGTGGGTCGTGGGTAAAAAGTCGTGGGTCGTGGGTAAAAGGTAGCGGGTCCGAGAAAAAAGTCGTGGGTCCCGAATAAGAAGTCGTGGGTCCTGAAAAAATGCCGTGGGTTCTAAACCAAATATTTCCATATATTTACCTTTCTCCCTTTGGCTTTGGAATGCGTGTTTTTTTTTCTTCTGAGGCTTTCCAAAATATACATAGTCTTAGAGCGCGTTAAGGCCGGGTTTTCGATCAGTATCGGAAGATCAGTTTATAAATATTATAACCAAGTGTGGATATAAAACAGTTCAACTTCACGCCCTACATAGCTAAAATATATGGACGTTATAATCTTATAGACAGATAAATTAATTACTGTGATTCTTCAATAGCTCAAGGGCCACTTGTACGAAAGCTGAATAGTGCTATCTATCCACTAGATATAGTCAAAATTTTATAACCGGTAATACGGTCATTTAATATAACTGTAGGTTACAAAGAAGATCGCCGGTCTGCAAAATAGTGATGCATCGATATCCATATCGGTAATTTTGTTGTCGATATTACGGACGTCGTCGTAAACATTACAAGAAAATATATCTCTAGACCAATGCAAATATAATCTGAAATATCGCAAACTACAAACGGAACAAACCTTGAATGTAAACAATGCTACTCGGACTGTTATTAAATGAGCGCTGTGAAATTTCCAAATTCCAACATGCCATTGACTTCGCTGAACCTTGATGCTCAAGAAATATGTAGAACTGTAGAAGTATACCTCTCTGTTATCAAACCTACGGTAAAATAATCCGACAAAAGCCTACTGAAAGTAAGTCAAAGCATGAATGTTACAAATACTGTATGTGACTGTATATTTGTAACTTATGTTTGACATTAGAAAATACAAACCACATAATAAATTTGACACTAGATTCACTACTGCAACATGGTTAGATACTAAATATGTATTTAAGTGAAATCTCTCAAATGCTTTTTTTTATTTTTCCCTAGTAAAACAGACATTGCATTACATTAACTGTCCAAGTGAAATTTCTCGCTTATTACTGTAAGAACATCGATCATGACGATCAACAAATTACAGTGAAGCCCTGAATGTCACAATTTAGCTATTTATGGTAGCACTATGTCCTATTGAAGAATTACAATAGTTCGCTTTCTATAAGATTATAACTTCCAAATATTTTAACTATATGGGGCGTGAAGTTGAACTGTTTTATCCACCCTTGGTTATAATATTTATAAACCGATCTGCCGATATCGAAAACCCGGCCTTAATAACGCGCTCTAAGACTATGTATATTTGGGAAAGTCTCAGAAGAAAAAAACACGCATTCTAAAGGGAGAAAGGTAAATATATAGAAATATTTTGCTTGGAACCCACGGCATTTTCTCGGGACCCACGACTTTTATTTGGGACCCACGCCTTTTTATTCGGGACCCACGCCTTTTTACCCACGACCCACGCCTTTTTACCCACGACCCACGCCTTTTTACCCACGACCCACGCCTTTTTACCCACGACCCACGCCTTTTCACCCACGACCCACGCCTCGACCCACGACATTCTACCCACGACTGCTAGCTAGTCCCGGTTGAGCTGGTGGTCATCCTCACTGATCTCAAAAATATGACTGATTGCTTGTAGGAGTGGGATAAGCAAGATTTCAATTTTAAAAGACATATATTTGTATCGTTTGATATATAATATATATATATATATATATATATATATATATATATATATATATATATATATATATATATATATATATATATATATATATATATATATATATATATATATATATATATATATATATAGAATTAGGTTTCGTTGTTTACAAAAACATTTGGCAGAGTGCTCAATGGATATCCAGAGCATAATTAAATAAGTGCAACGACTCAACAAATTCCACCAGGCATCTTTATTACTATTAGTTTCGTACCACAAGATGTGGCACTCATCAGATAAATTAGCCTTATGACTACAGCAAAAAACCTACAGTATTTATGTACAAGTGGATGAAAGCTTTAAATTAATCCTATTTACAAAGCACGCAAAGCAATTATTTTGTTACTTGATAAAATTGACAGGACGCGGAAGTATTAACAACACATCAGCATAACGCCAAGCTATTAAGATTGCGCGGTATATTTAAAACAAAAATATGCCTGTCTCGAGTGCATGCCCTTTAAATGTTAGCTAAAAGAAATTTTTTCGCATGTCTGCATGAAGACACTAATTCGTTACGTTTGTTCAAAGTAGCCAGTTCAGGTTTACATATAATAAAGTATTTTTCCCACAGGCAGAGATTACATCTATTAGAAGCAGGGCTGTAGGGTTTGGCCCGTTTCAAGGTTTGCCATTTAATATGAAATTCAATTCCTTTGCGCTTTAACTGCCAGACATATTTACTAAGTTCAGTGGAGTTCCTTTTCTCGTACAAAGTAAATGAGGTTTTGTGGTTGTAATATCTAGTTTTAAAAGCGTTTTCAGTCAGACCAACATATGTTTGAGGTGGACTATTGTCGTTGGTAGAAACTGTAGCTTGATATACAATAGCTTCGACCAAACACTTTTTGGACATTGGGCACTCCTCTTTCTTTCTACAGTTACATGTGCTTTCTTCGCTCGTTGTGGCGGTTTGTGACAGTTTGGTCTTGTTGTGTCCGTCGATGGTTTGTTTGATATTAGGCATGCAACTGTAGCTTATTTTAACAGTGTTGCGGTTGAATATTTTGTGTAGGGGGTGGCCTATTGGGAATTCATCATCGATGATATTCAAAAATGTTTGTCCAATATTTGTTGATACATTTTTACTAAATGGTGGATTGTACCAAATGATATTACGTCTTCGATTTCGGGTTCGAGGGGTTGTATGATTAAGTGGGTGCTTGTACTTTAACTGGTGTTTATAACCACTATTCTGAAGTGCTTGCTGGTATTGTTGCGAGGCTTGTTGAAATGATTCCTCATCGGATGATATTTCAGTTAGGCGTTTGTTGATAGACAGTGGGATATTGCGCAGGATATTCGGTGGGTGATTAGATTTCTTGTGCACGTAAAGGGGTATATTATTAGGTTTGGCGTATGGTTGATATTTCCCGGTTGACAAATTAAGGGTAACGTCAAGAAAATTGACTATTTTCTTGTTAGCATATTTTTGTTTTAAATATACCGCGCAATCTTAATAGCTTGGCGTTATGCTGATGTGTTGTTAATACTTCCGCGTCCTGTCAATTTTATCAAGTAACAAAATAATTGCTTTGCGTGCTTTGTAAATAGGATTAATTTAAAGCTTTCATCCACTTGTACATAAATACTGTAGGTTTTTTGCTGTAGTCATAAGGCTAATTTATCTGATGAGTGCCACATCTTGTGGTACGAAACTAATAGTAATAAAGATGCCTAGTGGAATTTGTTGAGTTTTTATATATATATATATATATATATATATATATATATATATATATATATATATATATATATATATAATTTCTGGTGTGCATCCACGCCGGGCAAACTGAAAAGTTAGCTTGGCCACCGATCCATAATATAATTGGAGCTAGTAATCTGAAAACGATCTATTTATAGACATACAACAAATTAATCATACTTATAAAGACTCTCTATAGTCTACAGTATTAAGGTGACTCCCTACAGTTGTGCATATTTTCCCCCAACGTCTCTGAAAAGGGCTTGGTCGTTTTAACTGCGAATTCTTTCCACGTTATACATAC